CCGCAGTTTGAGAAAGTCGGGTCCAGAGTGACTCGTTAGCTTACACTGAGCCTCCTCCCACAGTCTCCAGCTCCGTTCTCAGTTCTCTTTGTAAGTGGATATTGAGCCCCGGGCCTCCTGTTCGCAGGATAGGTGTTCTCCCATCTGAGCCTCTCCCCAGACTCACACTCGAGAGAGGAAATTGGCCAGCATTTCAGTTTGTGTACAGATCTGTGTGGAATTGGGGGATTACCCCCCACATCTTTGCTCACACCCTTGATCTGTGTGGCAGAACTGACGGCCAAGGGGAGCTTGTCCCCAGAAGAAACACAGACTCCCGCTTGGGTGAGATCCCCCGGAAAGAGGTGAGGGAAAGTCAGCAGGGACCAGGGGAAAGCAGGGCTCTTGTCTCCTGGTCCCCTCAGCACTCCGCACTCCCTGCCTGGCCCTGATACCCCCCCCCCCCCCCACTTGCTAGCACACACACTTCCTTCCCCTGTGCTCACTGGTCGGGGCCACTTCACGCAGGGCCCTTTCTCTGTGGGGTGGGGAAGTGAGGGTGTATGATGATGGCTTTTCTTCTTTCCCCTCAATTCTCGGATCCCCTCCCAGGCCGTCCCTCGACGCCTTGCTTCAGCCCCTAAGACGGAAAAGCCTGCACGGAAGAAGAGTGGGCATCCCGGCCCGAGCAGCGTGAGGAGTAGGGGAGGCATCTGGAGATGAGCCCGCCCTTTCGCCCTGCCTTGCTCTGCTCCCTCGTTCCAGCTCATTGTAACAACTGCCCCCTCTCTATCTGAATCAGAGGAAGCGGGGAAAATGGAGGATTTGTAGGAAGCTACTGTGTAAAGAAACCTTTAAGAATACTGCTCGAGTATTTTTAAAAAGTATATTATTTCTTTGAGGCTGGTGTGTGACTGGAAGTATGAGTGGGCTGAGGCTCAGTGTATGCGTGCAGTAGTTAACCGATCAGTAGCAGAATTATGAGTGACTCTTCTTTTTTATACATTTTGTATTTTCTAAAATAAGTATGTATTACTTTAGTGATCAAAAACTTCCAAACTTTTAATAAAAGAGTAAATTATTGTGTAAATGTTTGAGAAAAACTTTTGATGCTGGGGAGAAAGTTCTGTCTTTTAAAACGTTTTTAAAACGTTTTAGATTGTTTTTATGTGAAATTTTATTTTTTTCCATTTTTGAGACCAGGTTTTTCTCTGTGCAGCCCAGGCTACCAACAAATTTATAGGTCCTCTGCTACATACATGTTGGGTTACAAGCATGTGCCAACATGCCCGGCATTTCTGCTTTCTAAGATCATTTGATTCTTTTGGGTGGCACTGGGGATTCAGATCGACAGGTCCTGTCCAGCCAATAGACATGTTTGGACTATAAACTGTATAGCTCTAAAACATGTAAATAAACTGGGCAATGGTGGTGTATATCTTTAATCCCAGCACTCAGGAGGCAGAGGCCAGGAGGATCTCTGAGTTTGAGGCCAGCCTGGTCTACATTGTGAGTTCCAGGACAGCCAGGGCTGTACAAAGAAGCCCTGTCTTGAAAGAACCTAATTAATTAATTAGTTAATTAACATGTAAATAAATCCTGGTGAGAAAATAACAGCTGTTTCCAAAACCTTCCATCCTCATGTTCACCAAAATGAACAAAGAGAAGCGGTATTAGGGGCTGGTCATGGTGTCCTGTGCCTGTAATCAAACACTTGGGAGGTTTTGGCGAGAGGATTGTCACAAGTTTGAATCCAACCTGGCTACGGAATGAGACGCATCTCAAAAACTAACAGAATGGAACTCCTTAGGTGAGGCCCCAGCTTTCAGGTGGAACCCAGAGTTTCAGTTAAGCAGAGAGTGGAAAGCATATATATAATTTGAGTGAGACTGAAGGAATGCCTTAGGGTCCGCAGACAGCACCCTGCTCCGGAGCAGCGCACAGTGGTGATGAAGGGCTGATCAGCCACTCAGGAGGGTGCTTGAGGAACAGTGTGCTGGCTTCTGAGGAGGCCAGGCCTCTCTTTGACCGAGTTATGTGATTCGGTCCAGCATAGACATGCCAGCAGATAGCATCACACAGTGAGTAGCAATACATCTGCTCCGTTCCCGCCACTGGGGCTTCCTCAAGGGACAGGGGATGGAGGCAGATAACTAGCCAGTCCTGTGGTCCTGCTCATCGCCACCTAGGATACTAGGTCTTCAGCCTGACTCAGGACTTCCGATGTGTACAGCAAGGAAGTAAAAGGCAGATGGCTATGGCAATGGCACCAGGCTCGGAGGCTCTTCTTCAGCCCTGAGTTAGGAATGCTTGCATTTTTATTTCAAGTGCCATAGTCTGACCAAACTGATCTGTGGTACACTGTCATCATCCGTAAGAGGTAGTTTCACACTTTTTAAGAATATTGGCAAAATGAACATCCAGTTTGTATCTCATTATCTCCGGTCCAGCCTGCCTCCATCAGCCAACGTGCCCTACATTTTTCTTGACGCGCAGGCTGGAGAATATGTCCCTAAAAGAGCCCTCAGTGAGAAAAGGGCAGAATGCTGACTTAACCACTTTGGGAGGTCATCCTATAGCAGGACAGCTTTGGTTTTGAAGTCTTCTTAGTCACTGAAGGAAGGTGGGTGGGAGAAGGGATCACGGCCGACTCCCACCCAACACCTCCATGGCTATCTTGGGAAGATTCTGAGAAAGGGAACAGGAAAAAAAGAAAGAAAGAAAGAAAGAAAGAAAGAAAGAAAGAAAAAGAAAGCCCTGAAGGAGTTTAAGAAAACCTCCATGCTCAGGCACCTGGTGTGGATGGGGTGTCGATAATGGGATTTTCATCTCCTGAGAACATTCAGAGGCATGTGTGGGAGAGGCTTGAGGGACTTAGGAAATGGGTTCCACAAGGGCGGAAGCTGAACTGCTGTAACAAGCCAGGGCCTTTCAGACACTAATTCCTCAGTGATGGTCCAGAACAGTGGGGATGTCTGACTTCACATGTTCACTTATGACTTCCAGCTGGAAAGTGAGAGGAAGATTTGTAGGGGTCCAATGTCTTAAGACATGGCTGGAAATATGATGCACCGACTTTTGCTACTATTTTGTTGGCAAGGGGTCACCATTGGCCACATCAGTTAGCCTAACGGGGCTGCCATGTGTAACAGCCTACGTTATTGCTGTGTGAACAATAATGGAGGAAGAAGAATATGGATCTTGATGGACAGTCAGCAGTCTGCCTTACAGAAGACTGGGCCCATAAAGAAATTGAAAACTAGCCCATGGGAGGCAGAGGCAGGCAGAGTTAGAGGCCAGCCTAGTGAACAGAGTGAGCTCCAGATCAGCCAGAGCAACATGGTGAGACCTTGTCTTACAAAACCAAAAATAAAATTAATTTTAAAAGGAAGTTAAAAAAAAAAAAAGGAAAAAGAAAAAAAAAAAAAAGGAAGTTGGAAACTCTTCACTGGGAAGATGACCCATGCCAGTAATTAGTGGTAACCAACTGTGAGGTGATGAGAAAAGCGCATTAGCCGCACAGCTCAAGCCAATCCAAATGCGGAATGAACTAGTCTCTTTCAAAATTAATGTTGGAAAGAACTTCTCCGAGTGCGCTTCTTCCTGAGAAGAGAAAGGTGGTATTTAAAGGTAGCGGTCATACAAGCAGGTAGCGAAGGAATGGACTTGGGGCTGGAGAAGTGACTCAGCGTCTGGGGCACTTGCTGCTCTAGAAGAAGAACCAGATTTGGTTCCGAGGAGCTCACAACCAGCTCTAAGTCCAAGAGATCCGACGCCTCTTCTGACATTTTCCAACCCCTGCATACACATGCCACATATGCATACACTCAGGCGCGCACACACACAAAACCTGTACATGCAGCTGGGCATAGTAACCCATCTCTTTAATTCTAGCACTTGGGAGGCACAGGCAAGCAGATCTCTGAGTTCAAGGTCAGCCTGTTCTACACTGAGAGTTCTAGGACAGCCAGTGCTACTTAGAGAGACCCTGTCTTAAAAAATAAATAACACACACACACACACACACACACACACACACACACACACACACACACGAATGGACTTTACTGAAAACCATGAATATTCCTTAGAATAAAAATTTTTTGAAATCTCCCATGTTTTCAGAGCTTTTTTTTTTTTTTTTTTTTTTTTCCAAGACAGGGTTTCTCTGTGAAACAGTCCTGGCTGTGCTGGAACTCACTCTGTAGACCAGGCTGGTCTCAAACTCACAAGAGATCCACCTGCCTCTGCCTCTCGAGTGCTGGGATCAAAGGCGTGCATCACCACCACCCAGCCATAGCCAGGGCTCTTAACAGCTGAGCCATCTCTCCAGCCCCACATCAATCTTTTAAAAAGTAGCGAAGCATCCTCTTGGAGTGAGGCTGCCCTTCAGTACCGCCATGACATGAGTCAATCCTAGTGGCGGAGGATCAGGAAAAGGAAACCATATTTACAGATTAAGCAATCATGTTCATGACATACTAGTTTAAATGAGTATCAAATGATATACTTAAAATATATGATATACTTTCACTAAATGACACCAAATTGATACATATATTTCAAATGTTAGTACTATGTTAAATAGCATGTTAATTAAGATTTATAGTAAATCATTCAATTTTTAAATTCTAGTATAAAGGGCTTAGCTTAACAAAAGATTTTTAAAGTAGGGGCTGGAGAGATGGTTCAGCAGTCAAGAGCAGTGGCTGCTCTTCCAGAGGACCAGGGTTCAATTCCCAGGACCAACATGGTGGTTCACAACTGCCCATAACTCCAGTTCCAGGGGATCCGATGCCCTTTCCTGGCCTCCACAGGCACCAGGCAAGCACACAGTACACAGACATACATTCAGACAGAAACAAAAACAAACAAAAACAAAAACCATACATAAAATAATTTAAAAAAATTTAAAAGAGAGATATCAGCAGGCAGTTTTTGAAAAAAGCAAAGGCAAAGAGCCAGTCGACACTGGAGGGCTGCTCAGCTCATGGGAAGGGTGGGCACTACCTTTAGCTATTCTTCTGTCCCATTGGACAGGCAACATTTTAAAGGTCTGAATGCATCGTCACTGAGATATAGGACAACAGGAGCTATTCTTCGGGTTTGAGAACCAAAAGGGACAAATGGAGTGTTTAGGGAAACATTTTGGCAGGGCCTGATGTGATGATGCACGCCCTCTGACGCATCGAAGCCATCCCTGGGGACATGCCCTAGAAAAACTGCTCTGCACCAGGAGACAAGTCGGTGGATGTCACAGCCGGACAATGGAACATCCTTCCACCGTGGCAGTTCACATCAGGAAATACTACGTCGTTCAGATGGGTGAGCTACAGTTACAGGCATCTGTCTGCGTGAGGTTCATAAACATGGTGCTGAGTGATTCAGATTCAGATCACAGGAGGGAATGGGCAACACACACTGCTTACATAACGTTAAAATCAGTGCAGGGCAGCCCAGTCCAGCATGTGTTATTAGAGGCAGAGCCGGGCTAGAGGGAACCCACACAGGGGCTCGCCTGGCTCAGGGTGGTGGAGGTGAGGTGTGTGTCTGTCTGCCAGAACAGACTGACAAGGGAGCCAGAACATGGGCAGGGTGAGGCAGGCTGGTTGTGTGAGGCAGCATATGGTGGAAACTGCTACCTTTTCGGGGGATGGCCAAATAATGAGAGCCAAGTTTGTGGAGAAGAGAAAATGAGCCAATTCTGCTACCGCAGTAGGTGAGATGCAGCACGGATTCCCTATGCAGAGATAAGCATGGAGGCACACGTGAATGCAAACCGTGTAACTCTGTCTACAGCACGTTTCCTAGCAACACCTTTACTTCCCCAAGACTGCTATAATGAATGACCACAGACTGGGTGGCTTTAAGTGGCAGACGTTTATTCCCTTACTATTCTGGAGGCTGACGATCTGAAATCAAGGTGGGGGCAGGACCATGCCTCTGAAGCCTGTAAGGAGGGTCTCCTCTGTCTTCTTGGCTTCTGTCCCTAGCTGCCAATGGCCCCTGAAGTTCCTTGGCATGCAGACATGTCATTTCAGTCTATCTCATTGTCACAACATTCTCCCCGTATCCCTGTGCCCTCCTTGGTCTTTTTATAAGGACATTATATTTACTGGATTTAGGATCCACCTTAATCCATTACAACTTCATTCTTCCAAACAATTTCTAAATACAGTAAACCCATTTATAAGTAGTTTGGCTTCCTGTAGTTTGGGGTATCCACAGTCAGCTGCAGTTAGCTTCCTATAGTTTGGGGTATCCACTGCAGTCTGACAATATGAAATATTGGAGGATTCCAATATTTATATTCCAATAAATAGTGGGAGTACTCTTTACAAATGGGCCTCAGCATGTCATCAGGATGGCCTCAAAGTCCTGAACTCAAGTGATCCTCCTGTTTCAGCTAGGACTACAAATTCATGCCAATGTGCCCAGCTTCAAGTAACCCATGCAGTCATGCGATGTAAGGAATTCTCATGCAGTCACGTGATGCAAGGAATTCTCATGCAGTCATGTGATGCAAGGAATTCTCATGCAGTCATGTGATGCAAGGAATTTCATCACCATGAGAAGGGCAAATACAGTGGGATGGCAGAGAGAGAGAGAGAGAGAGAGAGAGAGAGAGAGAGAGAGAGAGAGAGAGAGAATTACTGCTGTATCACACCCCAGTTTATTATTAGATATTCTTGTTCAACATGTTTTTGAGTCACGTAAGTTTTATTCTAGAGGGTCTGGGGAGATGGCTCAGTGGGTAAAAGAACCTAATGATGTGAATTCGATCCCAGGGACTGCTGACCCCTCTAAGTTGTCCTGACCTCACCATGTAGTGTGACATGTGCGCACTCACCACATACACATACAAATAAATAAAATAGAATTTCGTTCTTTTTAAAAGGACCAAGTGTCGCGTGTGACCCTGACTAGGGCATTTTCTTTGTGAGAATGCCCGTGGGATAACCTGGGAAGGCTGAATAACCTCTGAGGATTAGATTGCAGCGAAGGACCAGTGTTAGCCTCCTGACTCGATGGGTGTGTAACTACAGTTGTACTTTGACAGCTGGAGATGGCTGTCTCTATCTCTACATGTGTTTTATCTCTCTGTGTAAATACAGATGTTTGAAACAGCATTTCATGTAGCCCAGGCTGGCCCCAAGGCCTCTGTGTAGCTGAAACTGGCTTTGAACTCCTGATCTTGCCTCCACCTCCCAAGTGGTGGAGTTATAGGCATGTACAATCATGTTGATCCTTTTTTTTTTTTCCAGTAGTACTGGGGATCGAACCCAGGGCCTTATACATGCTACCACGGAGCTATATCCCAAAACTCTGAAACTGATTTTTTTTTAATTTTAAGGATTTTATTCTTATTATATGTATGTGTGTGTGTGTGTGTGTGTGTGTGTGTGTGGAGGGGGAGGGGGAGTAATGTTCACTTGTGTGCAGTGCCTGAAGAGGCCAGAAGATTCCTGGGTCTCCTGAAGCTGCAGTTACAGGCTTTTGTTGTGATACAGCTGACGTGGGTGCTGGGAACTGAACGTGAGTCCCCTGCAGGAGAAGCCAGTGCTCTTGACCCCCAAGCCGTCTCTCCAGCCCCGGAAGCTGACTTTTAAAAAGCCAATATTTTGAACCGAGGGCGTAGTTGAGTGGCAGAACACTTGCCTTGGATGTGGAAGGCCCTGGGTTCAGTTCTCACTATCAAAAGAAAATAAAAACAGAAAAACAAACAAAAAACATTCTTGGCCAGGTATAATGGCTCATGCCTTCAGACCAGTACTTGGGAGTCTAGGGCAGGAAGAACACAAGTTTGAGGCCAGTCTGAACAGCATAGTGAGATTCCGTCCCCGAATGCCAAAACAAAAGATGAATCTTCTCTGGAGGAGAAAACGAGCAGAGGAAAGAACAAACTTAATTCTGTGTAAGGAAACAACACACACCAAAATCAGGACAGTGGGAGCGTCCAGCTGAGGAAGAGGACGTATGATGAGGGTAGCCCACAGGAGCCTCAGGGTGCAGTGTGCAGCCACATTCCACTCTTGTGATTGTGCCTTATAATTTACATGTGTATCATATACCTATTTATTCTCATGTATCAAATATTTCACAGTAAGGATGAAAAGCACATGTACTATTATTGTAGTTATGATAGAAAATCAAACTATGTATGCACATATAACTATGTATGCACATATAACTATGTATGCACATATAACCTTGCATGCATATATATTTATAAAACATATAAAGGGCTAACAACGCATACGAGACAAACATACACTGTAGCTTAAGTTTTCCTGCCTGGCCCACAGTCAGGGCAAATCTCTCTCACCTGCCAGTCCCACAGCCGTCAGACCCGACCAAGTAAACACAGAGACTTGTATTGGTTTCAAACTGTATGGCCATGGCAGGCTTCTTGCTAACTGTTCTTTCAGCTTAAATTAATCCATTTTTATAAATCTATACCTTGCCACATGGCTCGTGGCTTACCGGCATCTTCACATGCTGTTTCTCATCGTGGCGGCTGGCAGTGTCTCTCTGACTCAGCCTTCCACTTCCCAGCTTTATTCTCCTCCTTGTCCCGCCTATACTTCCTGCCTAGCCAATGGCCAATCAGTGTTTTATTTATTGACTAATTAGCAACACATTTTCCATACAGAACATCCCACAGCACTTCCCCCTTTTTTTTTTTTCAAAAAGGAAGGTTTTAACCTTAACAAAGTAAAATTACATATAATTTGGGAATTTGGGCGTAGCTTCTCTTACTACTTCCTGCTGGAGGGGGGCGCTGTATCTTATGGGGATACAAAGAAAATTTTAGAATTATAGAATAGACCATGAGGGTGTATCATCTGAGCCAGTTGCTTTCAAACCATTCTGGATGTTGGATCATCTGGGCCTTGGTGTCATCGGAGACCTTTCAGGGGGTCTTGGCTGGTCAAACCTGATGTATCTTAATCTGGAACAAATCCATAGCCTCTGGCTTTCTGTGGAAACAAAAGAGACTCTTTTCCAAAGCAACATATCCTTATATTCAAATTTTGAAGTCAAGATACCTTTAAAATATACATTTTGGCGTAACTCAACAGCTTTTACAATGAAATGTTTTTCTGCAGTTAAAAATCCCAAAGACAACACAATCCAGATTCTCTGTGTAATATCCATTTTTACGTGGCTTATTTTTTATACTACCTTTACTGTCTCTTTAAAGACTTTATTTTTTAAAACTATGTATTTGTTTCTATAACTGTATATATCACCTTTTTTGTCTCTTTCAAGCCTACGTATCTTTTACACATATTGTAAACTATTACATCTGAATCTGTCTTATTGTGAATCTATTGCTTTAAACTGCAGCAGCTGTGGCTGCTGGCTCCACCCACCTCAGCTTCCCAACGTGGCGTTTTCCACCAGCTCTGGGAGCTATCGTGGGTCTCTATGCTTTTATCCAAGCAGCGTATAGCCCAGAAACCTCTTTGTTTTGTACCTGCAAAGGCTAAATCCACCACGCAGCTTAATGTGCCACTTGCAGAGGACTCATTCCCGCCATACTGCAGGTCGAGCGCACATGCTAGGAACCCACCAGTAGCTCAAACTGGCAGCTGCCGCTCATTTGAGAGAGACAATTAGGAAGCTGTTTTTAACTCCGTTTTAGAATCTTTTCTCAGGTTTTAGGTGGAAACTCTTGCCACCACGTTGGACGCCATTTGTAGCTTAAGTTTTCCTGCCTGGCCCACAGTCAGGGCAAATCTCTCTCACCTGCCAGTCCCACAGCCGTCAGACCCGACCAAGTAAACACAGAGACTTGTATTGGTTTCAAACTGTATGGCCATGGCAGGCTTCTTGCTAACTGTTCTTTCAGCTTAAATTAATCCATTTTTATAAATCTATACCTTGCCACATGGCTCGTGGCTTACCGGCATCTTCACATGCTGTTTCTCATCGTGGCGGCTGGCAGTGTCTCTCTGACTCAGCCTTCCACTTCCCAGCTTTATTCTCCTCCTTGTCCCGCCTATACTTCCTGCCTAGCCAATGGCCAATCAGTGTTTTATTTATTGACTAATTAGCAACACATTTTCCATACAGAACATCCCACAGCAATACACATCTGCTGAAATCTATTAAGTTGTTAACCCGGGAGACAGCAAACAAGGGAAGAGCTCCTGCTGTTCTTCCACAGAACTGGAAATAGGTTCCTGATATCCCAACTCACAACCTGTAACTTCTACTTCAAGGGATCTGATGCCCTCTTCTGGTCTCCATGGGCACCTGCACTCACATGGCATATACACAAATACAATTCAAATTCAAAAAAGAGAAGTCGGCCAGTG